CCGGGCAGGCGCCTCATCCTGTCCCACAGGCTCCGACCCTCTGCCCAACACTGAGCGGCGCGAGGGGCACCGCGGAGGCTGTCCCGCCTTGGCCGGAGTGCCGCAGCCGGGCAGAGAGCTAGCCGCCTCCACCATCCCTCCCTCCGCCCTCCCCGGGGTTCAAAGTGCGGCCGGACATCCCGCTGCTCGGGGAAGGGCAGAGATTTGGCTCGGGCCTCGCGTCCCCCCTCCCGACTGCCCCCTTTCCCCACGGCATGGTCTGCTTCCCGGCAAACACCGGGAACAAACGCGGCAGCAAGGGGCTTCAGCTCGAGCTTCTCCAACAAGAGCCTGCCTAGGGATTAGCACGGCAGGGCGAGAGGGACGCGCTGAGAAACGGTCCAGTTTTGCTCCCCTCAGGCATTTGCAGAAAGGCAGCATTTGTTGCATTAACAGCATATACTTTTAAGCTGCACTTTACAAAAGCACCCGGAATGCTAAAGAATCGTAAAAATGTCTCACTAACGAAAGGCAGGCAGTGAAAGAGAACCAAAAAAAAGAAGTCTAACCTCAGCAGAACCATAGACAGACAAAATGCAAGCAAAGGAGAAGCAATAATAGGGATTTAAGAACCAGAGGCGGTGCTGCGGGACAAGCATTTTAGGCCATTTTTGAGGACAAGAGAGATGAAACGAGATGATTTCCAGGAGAAGCAAGTTTCCAATGTCTGGAGTTAACCAGCACAGATCAAACCCTGGTTGGCCTAATAACAACACGCTGGATACGGGATGGCTCCGGCTCCTATTTCTGCTCCCTACTCGTGTAGCGGTTGGACCTGGGAGGAAAATCAAGGGAAAAAACAAGAGAGTATGTTCACAGCAGAACACAGTTGGTTTGGATTTGGAGTATGCGTGTATTCCACGCCCGGTACTGCAGGGACAAGGAAAGACTCGGCATGTCAACAAGCGGAGCTGCGCCTTGCTGTGCTAACCAGCTCTTGCTGGCTCAGAGAAACAGCAGAACAACAGAAAGAGGTCAGAGCGGAGATCTACCAAAAAAGCAACAGAATTTACTCTTCAGAAAGCTCCAGAGACAGCGTCCGGGGAACCGGCCTCGCTGCTAGATACAGGGGCACAGAGCTCACAGGAGGGCGCACACACAAACTCAAGGCAGCCATCCCAGCTAAAAATGCCCTGCAAGAACTCAGCATCTAAGAAAAAAAAACAGCAGCTGCTTCGGTTAGGGTCAGACCAAGACTAAAAAGTTCTTTTTCCGCAACTTCTTGCCCAAAGAGCTCATTTTCTGTGATTTCCCAGGCTCTGTGCTCTTTGCTGAGCCTTCTTTACAGCCCCAGCAGCGTGCTGTGTTCACAGGCAAAATGAGCAGGGCCATTCCCTGGTAGGTAGTTTTGCACTGCTGCTGAACTAGACGCCGTTTCAGCGTGCGAGACCTTGATGGCACATTACTGCGTGATGATTTGCTCAGGGATATCAGCCACTCGACACACGATGTCATCGACCTGGAAATTGGAGGAGCAGCCAGTGATTTACCCGTCAGGAGAGTACGAAACGGGCACATTCATGAGGCAAGGTCCATTCCTCTTCGGGAAACTTCGCTTGGTGGAATAAAATAACGTGTTCCAGAGACGGCGCTGGAAAGAGCCGAATGATCTTTTAAGACACCACTGAACCAGGGCTACATTGCCCCCTAGGCCTCCACAGCCTAAAGCCCGGATCCCATGAACGGAGATGAACTAGATTTGGAGAACCCACTCAGCAGCAGAGCTTAATCTTCAATTTATTGTGCAACAAGCATAAATAACTTTCTCCCCAAGTTCTTCTAAACACAATTACAGAGGTGAGATCGGATGATGTTTTCATAAACACGACTGTTGTTGTTCAAACATCGATGTCTCCTGTCCTCCCCGCCCAAAGGACATTACTTCATTGTCAAACAGAAAAAACAGGTAGGTAAAACAGACGAGCATCACACTAAACTCTTTAAGCAGGCGCTGCTGCTCAGCCCTATTTCGTTTGCAGTATTAGCCCTAACTGGACACAGTTTGACTCGGCCTCGGACTCTGCGGCAACAGTCACTGCACAAATACGACAGGCAAGAAACAAATGTAAGTGGGTTTGGGGTTCATTGTACTTGCGCCGTAACTAGCTAGATATGTAACGGTGCATTATCCTAAGAAGCGAGCGGCTCCTGACGCTCACCTTACCAGTCAGCACCTCACTAGGAGGCTTTCACGCGGTCATTTTATAGCAAGATACATCTGTGGCTGCAGAGGAATATCATCTTAAGACCACCGCCGGTTTCCCTAAGAAAAGAAAGATGGCACGTCCCTTTGTCAGCTCAGCTTTCTCGGTGTATTGTTTAAATCCGTGACGCTTCCGTGTAAAGAGCAGCTAGACAATGCCTCCTCCCACACGCCCCGCCTTCTGAAAGGGAACTTGCTTCATTCAACACACAACTTAGAAGTCAACTACAAATTCCCAAATGTGAGCAAAACCAACCGCATACCTCAGGACACCTGCAAGGTCTGCAAACCCTCACCAAGAGAGTAACGAAGCAAGGGCATTTCCTCTAGCAGGGAGAGAAAAGCAGCGTGTACTAACACTTGCTAAAGGTAAACTCAACCTCTTAAACACAGGCCTGCAGTTTTGCTCCCTAAAGCACTACAGTATTCCAGGCAGACAGAAAAGACAGATTCCTATGTGCCTTTAGAACGCGCCGTTTATCTATCGCACGGTCATGTCCCAGATGGCATTCTTCACCCAGACCGGCTTCTCCAGGCCAGCAACAGGAATATTGCTGCCCAGAGGTCTTCATACTCAAGGTTTGCCAAAAAGCACATCTTCATTTTGGTTTCTACCCGGCTTTTATCCACCAGTCCGTCCATGAGCAAAGCGGCTGCAGACTGGCAGAGAAGCCAGGCGATCATCTGGTCGGGTTTCAGGGTCTTGGATGCTAGAACGCTTCCACCCCAGAGGCTTAGGTGAAGCACGTTAGCAGCAACTCTAGCAGACAATCTCTGCAAAAGGAGGGAGAAGGAAGATTAGCTGATCCTGCTGCACTCACGTCTCATCGCCACAGCATGTAGCGTCTACACTGCCGAAAGTCCCCCAGGCCTCCTCTAAGGCACCACACAGTCCCTGTGAATTAAAAAGCTCTTTGTGACTATATATTATCAGGCAACTGCACGTAACCCCCCCAATTCAAGGTCCAGTCCCTGACACAAACATCCACTGAAATCCCTGAAACTATTCAGTGCCGCACTGTACTTCAGCAAAGACCTTTTGTTTGTCTTTGATCGTTATCTAGACTGCAATGATATCTGGATTGCAGTCCTGCACCCAGAGCCCTCCAGGGAGAAATGATCTACAAACAACGCTCCCAAAGACCGGTTAGACGACTTCTTCAAGACAACAGTTTCTTACCTTGTTGGGATCCCTGTGAAGTAGCATCTTTATCACTTCCTTCACCTCAAGGGGCACGTGATCGGGCAGGCTCGGCAGCTGGTCTTCACGGTAACTTCTGCTTTCCAGAGTCGCGTCCCCGTGGCCGTAGAAAGGATTGGCCAGGCCAAGGATTTCATAGGCGATCGCTCCGACAGCCCAAGCATCGGCTTTACTGTAGTTGATCACCGTCCCCGGACCAGGTGACGCTGTGATCACCTGCCAGAGAGATGGGGATGTTCAGATAAACAGCTCTAGGGTGGGCTCTGTGCTAAAACTAATTTTCAAGGGTCAAGTCAGTATTTCTGCTGTAATAAACAGAAAGACTGAAACCAAAGCTAGGTTTCGTCTAAATCTCTGATGTAAATATTCCCTACTGGCATGCTCTAAGCCCTCGGCACTGCTCGGCTCACCAGGACACTGGGAGGAGTTTGGTCGTTGTGCCTAGGCTTTAAGTCGTTGCCTCTGACCAGCATTCAGAGAGTCCCGAGAGCTATTTCACTCTGGGATTTTAGGTAGACGGGAGACATGCAGATGACCAACCAGTACTGCACCGGCACTTAAGCAATGCAAGGCAAGGTTAAGCGGACAGTTAAGGGTGTCTTCGCTTTTATTACTGTTATCATCAGAGAAATAAAAAGGAACTGTAAATAATTTCACAACCACCTTGAACTTCATCCAGAAACTACCATCGCAACACAAGGACTGCTGCATAAACTTCTTTAATAGCTACATAGAGAGGGGCCCGAGAAAAGACTGAAGAGCAAGCTTTTTGTGGGAAAAGTCAATTCTGCCTCGTAATACCGACTGATTACGCTTCACCTTTTAGAGCTCAAGGTGTCTGTTCGACAGCTGCTCAGCACAGGTCCGAAGAGGACTTTTTTTATTAATGCAGAGATGTTTAGCAAGCATAACTCAGGTTAGGACCGTGGACCTCCTACGCCGCTTTATGGGACACGGCTCTCCATGACAGAGCGTAGGGTGAGATTAGTTACGCAGTAACCAGCTACGGGTACTGTCTTGCATGACCGAGTTATGTCAAC